GGTAGTGATAAATATTTATTGATTTTATTCCACATAGTCTCATGACCATCGTAGGTGAACTCCCAGAAGTAACTACCCCAAACATAACTACAATATAAAACTTTTAATTATAATAAACTTTAACATAAAAACTGTAAAACTTCAAATTCGACAAATAATACATGTTCCACACATCCAAGTTCTCAATAAAAAAACCAGTCTTGTGGCACACGATCATTTGTTTCTTTCCCCAAAAACCCTTGACACAAAACGTATATGAGACATGCTCTAACTGCATCATCCTGGTAGCTGCTAAGAATGACTGATTTAAAATGAAACTTTTGAAATCACTGATTTTCACCGAACTATTTGTGTGGTTCGAAAAGAGACGTTCCCGCAATAAACATCTTTTTCTACTATTAATTTTTTTTTCTCCGACACTTTTTTCCTATCATTTTTGGATAAACTCCAAAATATAATCCGGCTATCAAACAAAACTCTTCGGTGCCATAAACCATTTTGGTATCTCCCACTTTAAAATACAACCACTTTATGTCATTTGGAGACACTATTGCGTCTGGTCGTATCTGATGAAGAAATATTGTATGAAATAGCAACCAGTCCCCTTGTAACTGAGGGACGTCCAACAAATAACCAAACACAGTGATTCTAAATGTTTCTCGTCGGACACCATTCAATACTTGAAATACTTCCCATATATAACATTCCGATCATTATAGATTTACCACAACTTTAACATTAAGATTTTTAGAATCGTGCTGAAATAAAACAATGGTAAGTTGTTATTTGTAACTAGAATAAATATTAAAAACTGTCAAAACAAAACATATTATTATAACAAGAAGGCAACAATCTACTTTAGAAACTATTAGATTTACACAACATCGGCAATTACAATTAGAAAATAAACCAAAGGTGTATTTATAACAACATCCAAATTACATCGTATAATATGCTTTTTGAATATTTCTATAATACAAATATAAGCATATTACATCAAAATTTGAATATTTATAATATAATAATAGCATCAAAAATGCATTTTTATAACGTAAACTATATGTGCAACAATCTACTTTAGAAACTATTAGATTTACACAACATCGGCAATTACAATTAGAAAATAAACCAAAGGTGTATTTATAACAACATCCAAATTACATCGTATAATATGCTTTTTGAATATTTCTATAATACAAATATAAGCATATTACATCAAAATTTGAATATTTATAATATAATAATAGCATCAAAAATGCATTTTTATAACGTAAACTATATGTACAACCTCACAAATGCAAATGAACAACATTAAGAAGCAGCAAAAATCAATTTTATATCAAAAAATCATATTATTATAGCATATTAACACATTTATATAACATATTAACACAAAAATATCAAATGTACAGCCTCACAATGCACGAATTACGCATTATGCACTTGTACAATCATAGATCCAAGTATGAAAATGCTATCAAAACCTCAATGTTACTTATGAAATCTTGTAAATATCAAATATAACAAATAGGTCTAAGAAAATCGAAGGGGCAACACCTTATATTTTCGTTTTTTTTTTTCTAAATTTTTCCCGATAAATCATAAATAAACAAAGCCTAAAATTGATAAATGATGATTAAAACACAAAATGAGTAAAAGATCTTACCATATTGACGAGATTGTTCATGAAATCGTCCGTAGTATGCGGAAATCGCAGATGGGGAAATCCAAAGAGAGAGTTCTCCAAGCAAAATTTCGAAAATGAAAGGAAAAAATTATCTTTTTATACCCTCAAATAGGGAAAATCGTAAATGGATAGGCAAATCGCAGATGGAGTGAGTCCATCTGCAAACGTACAAGTCCCTAAAGTGTATCCATGCTTTAGCGACTTGTACATTCGTAGATGGTATTGGAAAATCGCAGATGGGCTTAATCCATCTACGATTTTGATGGCTATTTTTGTGAGTTTTTTTGGCTATTTTTGTAACACCCGGTTCCTGGTATGTATTTAATTCAAAATTATTCATTTTTTTTTGTATAGAAGCTGGACGAGTTGGAGGCCCCAAGCTCGTCGAGTAGATATGGATTGGGACGCGGGTTAAGAAGTCTACTCGACGAGTTGAGAACCCTCAACTCGATGAGTAGGCTGGCAGAATGAAACCCTAATTTTCAGAGTTTTGCACCCTATTTAAACACCTTAACCCCCATAGGTTGGCTTCATTTCCAACCTCCATTGTCCCAAACCCTAGCCTCAAAACCCTAATTCACTTTTGAGAGTTTTGAGCCAACTTTTGTGCATTCTTTGTGATTTTGAAGAAGAAGATACTTGAAAAAGGAGCAAGGACGTGTAGGAGGAGAGTAGATCCAGAAGTTGGGCTTCGTTTCTGGTTCATCTGAGGTATAAAGCTCCTACCTTGTCTATAACATGCTTAGATCTAGTTCTAGGATGCTTCCTTCATGTTTTGGTCCAAGTATGTTGGTTTTTGGGATTTGGATGTCCTATGTGGGCAAACCCTTCAGATCTAGGGTCTTGAGGGGACTTCATGGCATAAAGGTGCCAACTTTATGGCCATGGAAGTCCCATGCAACTTTTAGACCATCTTTTTGGTCTTTTGAGCCAAGTAGGTCATGCAGGCGAGTAAAGATAAGAACTTTACGTGACCAAATCGTCCCTAAAATCTAGATCTATGACCTTATGGTCTATCTGGAAGTTTTGATGGCTTTTGGAGTTGAATCTAGCATATTATACGATGAGTTTTAATGGGTAAAGTTGGAAACAATTAGAAAATTCTAGGATGGGTTTTAATGGGTAAAGTTGGAAACTTTATCCTCCTAGGTGTGTTTTCGACTCAGATCTGGAATATGGGACTTAGATTCGAAGAATGATGGCTTAATACATTAAGAAAGCTTAACAGACTGAAGAACTCGACGAGTTGGGTCGAAGTGTCCCGATTATGTTAAAAGGAAGAACTCGACGAGTTCAAGGATGGACTTGACGGGTTGATTTGAGAAGTCCCGGTCCTTTTAATAGGGAGGAACTCGTCGAGTTCATGAAAGAACTCGATGAGTTGGATCACGATTTCAGGGTTTTATGATTTATGGAACTCGGCGAGTTAAAGGGCCAACTCGGCGAGTTGAGTCAACTCGGAATGTTGACTTTGACCAAAGTTGACCCTTAAGGGCTATGAGTATGAAAGGGTAATTAAGGGAATCTTTTATGTGTAGGGACTGAGTTGGGTTGATTTCAGAGCTGGAGATTTTTCAGCCACTTTACAGCATTCAAGGTGAGTTACCTTCCCGATAGAAGTGGGTCGAAGACACCAATGTCGGCCCACTAGTACTTGTTTATAGGTAGATGATTGTCTTTGTGATAACTGTTTGGTATGCCACTATCTGTTATGCTTTATGTGCGAGTATGCTATGATGATAAGTGATAGTGGTAGTGGTAGGGGTGAAATAGTCCTCGTAGCCGGTCGAAGGACCGAAGGGGTAGACCAGCACCCATATATGCTAGGCAGTATGTGATTATGCGTTTATAGGCTAGGATGTTATGTGGTAGTGGTAAGGGTGAAATAGTCCCTGTAACCGGTTGAAAGAGACCGAAGGGGTAGGCCGGCACCCATATATGCTAGGCAGTTACCGGTTGAAAGAGACCGAAGGGGTATGCCAGCACCCAGATATGCTCGGCAGCATGTTATTATATGGTATGTGGTATAATGGAGGAACTCACTAAACTTTGTGCTTACGGTTTTCAGTTTTTGTTTCAGATACTTCTTCTTCAAAAGGAAAGGAGCCGACATGATTGCAGCGAATCACACCATGATTTCCGCACACGAGATCTTTAGGAGTTGTACTCTAATGATGTTTTATCATGATATGTTTTGACTATTGATACATTGGTTTTGATATGAGTTGACACTATGGATGTTGTCAGACAAATGGTTTTATAATTATTAAATTAAAAATGAAACTTTTGGTCTTAAATTTTGGGATGTTACAATTTTCTACAAACTAATTAACGAAAATGGCTAATATTATAATTTTCTCAACAATATATTCTATTGAGATGAAGAGACTACTTTATCCTTAAAACAAAGGTTGTCAAGATCGTGATCACATTTAAGATCATTTTATGCTTTGTAAGACCTTAATCGAAAGATATTACCAAAATGAACTCATATTCAAGTTTACTCGTAAGACATTAGGTGTCAAGTCTACATTAAGGCGCCGATAAAGGAATCAACTTTAACTTTTTAAGCATAAACCATAATTTTTATTACAAATCGTTAAAATTAAGAAGAAAACATTATAATTAGAAAAAAAAATCATTTTGATCATATGCAACTAAAGACATAAATCACAAAGAGATTACTATGACCGGGTTCAACCTCCTTCAAGATGTATCAATGAAATTATGATGCTTTACACGACTTCTTGTAATTTTTGAGTATCGATTTTAAGTTTAATAGATAAATATTTGAAACTCAACTATATAATAAAACTAAAAAGATGAGATCGGGATTATTGTGTGATCTAGATCGTTTTTGACTAGTAGGTTCTTAAAAACGTAAGATTTTAAGACAGTTGTTAACTATGTCACAATATAATAAAATAAACATAATATTATTTATTCAAATTATACTCTTTACTGATTAATTAACTCAGATAACTAAAGTCAATCTTTTGACAATAATTAAGTACAAACACATATTTAAGCCAGCCGCAGGAACAAATATTGAGATCTAAGTTGAAATGTCAAATAGTGAACATAAGTGGAATTCAAAGTATATTCGCCGTTTCAAAACCGAAAACGAAACAATCTAGATAAATACGTAGGCATGACCGCATGAGATCTACCTTTGCGTCAACGCCCATCACGATTGACCAAGAAGCCGCTATCCAAATTTCAACAATCTCCGCACATCTCAATCCCTATATAAAGTAATCTGCGAAGCACTGTCTTCATCAATCTATCCATTGAACAAGAACAAAGCTAAAAAATGGCAGGAATACGAAGAGTTAAACTGGGTCAACAGGGTCTAGAGGTATCAGCTCAAGGTTTGGGTTGCATGGGCATGTCCTATTTCTATGGGGCCCCAAAACCTGAACCTGACATGATCAAGGTAATCCATCACGCCATTAACGCCGGCATTACCTTTCTTGACACCTCCGACATGTACGGACCTCAGACCAACGAAATCCTTATCGGCAAGGTGAGATTCTTTCTACTATTACGAGCTCACGAACTATATCTTACTTTGGTTGCCAATTAGTTTTAAGATCGCTTGATCAGAGGTGTCTTTTCATGTTTCGATCATTCAGTCAACTTACTGTTCAAGTATCGTTTCTTGTTTACTACAGGCTTTGAAGGGAGGAATGAGGGAGAAAGTGGAAATGGCGACCAAATTCGGAGTCAAATACGATACTGATGCAATGGAGGTCTGTGGAGATCCGGCTTATGTAAAGTATGCTTGTGAAGCTAGCTTGAAGAGACTCGGCATCGATTGTATTGATCTTTATTATCAACACAGGATTGACAGTCGTGTGCCTATCGAAATCACGGTAAATTTCCATTTTCCAACGTATCTCTTTCTTTCATTATCCGTTTATATGACTTCCGCTAAACTTGTTTTTATCGTTGTTAGATGGGAGCAGTAAAGGAGCTGGTGGAAGAAGGAAAGGTTAAATACGTTGGATTATCCGAGGCTTCGGCATCAACCATCAGAAGAGCTCATGCTGTGCACCCATTAACAGCCGTACAACTAGAATGGTCCTTGTGGTCAAGAGACGTTGAAGAAGAAATCATTCCTACTTGCAGAGAACTTGGAATCGGAATTGTTGCATACAGTCCTCTAGGACGAGGGTTCTTCTCATCTGGTCCTAAGGTGCTCGAGAATTTGGAAGATGGTGACCTCCGCAAGGTCTGTTAATTAGTTACACGTACTTTTGTGTTATATTTTCAATTATTATCTGCATCTACTCCAATTTATCAACAAAGACGCCTTTGATATAAGGTTTAAAATTTTCATTTTGTAGTATCTGCCGAGGTTCCAAGGTGAAAATCTTGAACACAACACCAAAATGTTCGAGAGGGTGAATGAGATGGCGGCAAAGAAGGGGTGTACCCCATCACAGCTATCATTGGCTTGGGTTCACCACCAGGGAAATGATGTGGTGCCAATTCCAGGAACCACAAAGATAGAGAATCTTGAACAGAACATTGGAGCTTTATCTGTGAAGCTAACACCAGAAGACATGGCTGAACTCGAAGCCATTGCTGCTGCTGATTCAGTCAAGGGTGGTCGATATGGTGATGGTATTTCAACATTTAAGGATACCGAGACTCCTCCATTGTCATCTTGGAAAGCTTGATTAATGTTGCGTACTGCTATACAAGCATCAACACTGCTGAGTCCTTTTGTTTCGTGTGTACTTGCTTTTGTCTAAGAACCCTGATTCGTGTTTATTTTGGCTAAACACGATCAGGCGTGTGGTTTAGGGTTGCGGTATAAGTATTTTAGTTTTTGAGAACCATAAATAAAGACGGTTTTTCCTGTTTAGGGGTGTATGATTGATCATAATCATTTATCATGATTCATAGCCCTTAACCTGATCCATATGTCTTCTTCTATTGTGTAATTTCTCGAATAAAATTACAAACAGATTCCAACTTTTGTTTGGTGCAGACTTTCTCACTTGAAAATGTATACGAAAATGTTTAGTTTGTTATGCAAGAAGTGATAGAGCACAAAATGTTGGACTACGTTTGTGGTGCATAATATTAGGATCGATATTGATGTTAATGAAACTAAAATTGGAATTTTGATGTTATATGGTTAGGTCCGGATGACATATGACTTTTAAGCCGGTTCCCCACCCGTCCTGCAGGCTGCATCCGAGCACTATTCAAGCCCCGAAAAAAGTCAAAACTAGGCAAAAATACGTACATAGCCACACAGTATGTTACATAAGATATGACTAATATGTTTTATAATATGCTATAACAATCAGCACATGAAGAAAAACAAAAAGGGAAAGCTCTAAATATATACTAGTCATTTACCCGCGCCAAGCGACGGGTGCGAATAGTTTTTTCAGAAATTAGTTTTTATGGACGATTAATTCTTTTGGACGTATACTTGAATTTTAATATTTCAAAAATATTAAAATAAACAACATATATCAAAATACATTAATTACCATAATTTTAAAATATATACCACTCGATGGTCACTAAGTATAGTAAAAGACATTTTGGGCCATAAAAAATTATTTACCACACTTTGTTGTCATAAACATTATAGTAAAATAAAAAATTCTCATGCAAATTTGTGTTTTTGTATGCTAAACCGAATATTGATAAATAGGAAAAATAGGAAACAAAATGGAAATCCCAAAAAAACAATAAAAACCAAATGACAACCTTAAAAATTAAATGTAAAAATGAAAGTCCTTTTTGCTCTGAAAGTAAAATGCTATAAATGTTTCTTTTTCGAAGTATAATGTTGTAACAGGAACATATGAAAGTAGGATGCTATAATAAAAAAAGAAGTGAATGCAAATTGCTATTTTATCTCATTTCACAGCAACATATAAATACTTGACACTAAAAAAGATTGTACAATGCTATTTGTTGCATTCGACAACATGGTTGTTGCTCAAAGTAGACTACCATAATAAGAAAAAAAAAACTGAAACCAAGATGTTGTAATAGAAAGAACTAATTCCAAAGAAAAAAACGCTAAATAGCTCAATGGCTTGACTGATCCCAAAAAGTTGATGCCTCAACAGTTTATTTATTGCATCATGGGGTCTTGATCATCAACTTGTTTTAGTTGAACCATGGAGCAAAAAAATTGTTTTTCAGCGTTGATGGTAACATTTGTCCTTCCTGATACAGAATTTTATAAAATTAAAAAAGCTATATTAGTTGCAGTAAGGTTACGAAATGATTTATATCTATTTAATTTAAATATATTTTTGCAACTGAAGTCTTTATATAATTATATAAGACAAAAGTACATAACAATAAAGTTTGAAAGGACAAATTATGTAAATTATGTAAAAAATAAACACCAAACATAATAACAAAATAAACAAATATCACATATCTAGCAACCTTCTATTTCAGTACAAGAAATCCTTCTGTATCCATGATCAGCCTGTCTTAAAAAGATTCAGAAAAGGTTAGAAATTATAACTTAAAGTTTTTTTAAACGATAAATAATTTGATAAATTAAGAAGCCAACAGAGAGTTGGACAAATACAAAGTGTAGAAAAAAAGAGAAAAAAAAAAAGAAAAAACAAACAAATACCTTGTGACAACCCGTAAAATTTCTATCTTGTCAAGTCAATCCAATCAACCAAAAGTCAGACTTATTTCCATTGCCTTTTGGCCTTGTTAAAGGTCATTTTAATGAGTTCTGATCCTGGTACACTTAAGGATTAAGTGTTATGAAGTATTAGCTCGAGATCAGAAGGCTGCACCCGAACTAGAAAACCCATAAAAGAGGGTTTACGGCCGTAAACCCAAGTGTGGCCGTAAACACCCTTCTAGTCGTGAACCCTCTAGTATATATAAGAGTTTGTTTCATTTTTCTTCATTTCTCCAAACTCCAGCCGTGAACTACCCATTCTCTCTCAAGTATCATCCAAGAAAAGCTCTCATTTCACTCCAAAAACGTAAGTGTCTCATCCTTTACTTGTTCATGCTTAACAACCCCTTTGTTCTAGCCTTGATTTATCACCTTTCATCACCATCTTCAAGCTCTTCAAGATCTTGAAGGGTTTACGGCCGTAAACCCTTCATAAGGGCCGTAAACCCTTCATAGGATCTTGGGGCCGTAAACCCTCCCAAGGCCGTAAACTTATAGATCTTGGCCGTAAACTCCTTGTGATCAATCACATGTGATTCTAGCACTCCATTGTGAGTGATTCCTAGTTCCTAACGTTGTTTCCCTTACATATTAGTTGTCTTAAACACTAATTATATACATATATGTATCAATATATGTCATTTAGGACTCGATTGTGCCTCGTGACTTCATTCGTGGAACTTCTCATCCTTACGCGAATCTTCAATTGAATCACCCACACAAGGTGAGTTCATACCCCTATAATCAATCTTCTAAATGTTTTTAAATGTTTTTAAGAGGGGGAATACAAGTTGAACACAATGATATTGTGTTAGTATTTACCTGGGATAACCATCACATTAAAGGATTTCTTAAGCTTTTATAAGTTAGTAAATCAATTCAAAAACTCTTTGAAAAGTTGTTACATTATTGTTTATAAAACTCCGTTTTTAAAGTACATGCATAACTCAGTAGATGATTGAGTCTTTTCTACAAGTCAGTATCAGTTCATTCAAACGTACTAGTAAACTATAATAGGTATAGTTTAGGGAGTTACTACTTACTATTTCTAGAACAGTAAAACTTACATGAGTCAGATCTTACATGAGTCAGTTCTTACAGGAGTCAGTTCATACATGAGTCGGTTCAAACATACTATAACTAGAACAGGAAGGAAAATACTATAACAAGAACAAAAAGGAACATACTATAACGAGAACAAGATAACAATAATGTGAAACCACTACTTCACGGCATAGCAATATACTTGTTATGTCGCGTTTTGTAACCAGTGTCTCCTAGAGGGGAGCGTGAGTTTGTGTATAGATCTATACGGGATTGACCATCCTACACCTTGCTGCTAGCTATAGTGGGACCTGCAGGTCTACGGGTGACAAATGTCATACCATTTCGATGTCTTTGGAACGTCGTGTCTTATACTAGTCAATCAAGCATGGTTACAACCACCTCACATTTTAATCTTAATTAACAACTTGGTTTTTAAGGTAGTTAGTGCGTCAGTATTTACTTTATACAACACTACTTTACACTTTCATTTTCCCATTACATTCATATAGTGATATTCTCACATAAAAGGTAATGCAAACTATTTTCTAGTAAAGACAGTCATAAACTTGGGAAAACATACATTATTCAATAGACAAACAACAGAACAGTCGAGTCTTGGTACATTCAGTTAGAAGGGGGCCTATAATGCTAACTTTATGATTCCTCATTGGATACATTAGGGATATATATTAATAGGATCCTACATACAATAGAATGTGTGCTTTCCGCTTCATTCCCTGTTCCTTGTTTGGTTGTGGGCTTAGAGCAGATTCACACAGTCTAGTCTCTATTCGATCTTAGCTATATATATATATATATATATATATATATATATATATTATATATATATATATATATATATATCCTGTATACACCTAGTAATCATAGGGAGTAACAGGTATGGGTTAGGTCATAGCATACAAATTCAGTACACCGCTTTCTAGTACAAAAACATACTTTTCGGATAGAACATTAAGTAGAAGAAACTAGAAACTTATATGTAAAAGGTTTGATACGCATTATTAAACCAATATAACTTAAAGAACCTTTAGTGGTTAATTCTATAATACCTTAGTTTATACATCAGGGTTATATATAATTAATATCCGATAGACAGATTCACCTATTTAACTGTCCGTTCGATATTAGATTAAATATAGCTAGTATAAACTAAGTGATTATAGAAGTAACTATTGTGGTTACCATTTTTACTAAAGGAAATATATGATTTTCTTAAAGAATGATTTCATCAAATATAAAGAACTATTACAGTTAACTCCGTAAGTACCAAATGAATACGCCAGGGTTGTATACAATGAAGATCTTAGAAACAATGAGATGTGTGCTTTCCGCCTTACTTCCTGTTCCTTGTTTGGTTGTGGGTTTAGGGCAGATTCACACAATCGATTGTCTATTTACTCTGGATTGTATATAACTTGTATCCATTTAGTACTCATAGAAGGAATTGTAGAGTCATTTTCACTTATCACTCATCATATCAGAAAATATAGGATTTTCTGGAGGAACAGGCGAACTTTTCTAAATAACTTACAGTTTACTTTTCATCACTAAAATACTTATGAACTCACCAGCTTAAATGCTGATATACTCTTTCAAAATGACTTGTATTCTCAGGAAACTAGTAGACAGGTACGCGCACTGGGATTCAGAAGATGGAGTATAGTAGCTTCATGTCTTGTTTTGTTATTTACTTTTGGAGTCTATCTTTTGTGAGCCACATACTTTGTAAATACTTTCATATTAATGCAATGGTTGTTTGTTACTTTGATTACTATGATACATGTGTTGTGATACTAAACATGACGTCTTTCGCCCCCGAACGTTTCCGTCGTTCTGTTTTGGGGGTGTGACACACCTGAAGCCAAAGAGGGTAAAATGGTCAAAACATGAGAATAGCACTCCCCGACAGCCAAGTGTGCAGCAAGATATTTAAAAGAATTGGAAAGAGTCATCACGCAAGGGCACAAAAATCATAAGAAGCCATAAACTCCATGTAGGGGTAAAACGGTCCATGT